AAGTGCAGGACCCGGCACTTGGCCTTGTTGAATCTCATACAGTTGGCCTCGGCCCATCGATCCAGCCTGTCCAGGTCCCTCTGCAGAGCCTTCCTACCCTCGAGCAGATCAACACTGCCGCCCAACTTGGTGTCGTCTGCAAACTTATGGAGGGTGCACTCGATCCCTTCGTCCAGATCATTGATAAAGATATTGAACAAGACCGGTCCCAAAACTGAGCCCTGGGGAACACCGCTCGTCACTGGCCGCCAACTGGATTGAACTCCATTCACCACAACTCTCTGGGCCTGGCCGTCCAGCCAGTTTTTTACCCAGTGCAGAGTACGCCTGTCTAAGCAGTGAGCCGCCAGCTTCTCTAGGAGAATGCTGTGGGAGACGGTGTCAAAGGCCTTACTGAAGTCCAGGTAGACCAATTCCCATCTCTGTTTTTCATGCTTGTGCGCCCCCTTCCACCTTGGCCCCTCCCTTTCCTCACCTTTAATCCTGCCCCTAAACATCTCACAACATCTTACACGTTGCCACAATCCCCCCTGAAAACTTCCCACAGTAAGTTTTGCATGCAAGCCTTTACAGAGTAAGTTCTTCCTCAGACATCCCGTAGTAAGTTTGCTCTTTTTTATGAGACTCATTCTTGATAACCCACAATAATCCTCTTTTTTCTTTTCTTATCAGTTACCAAGTTTCTGGTTGAACTTCTTCAAGGTTACACTCAGAGGTTCCTTTCATGGCCTATTTTTCAGTGTCTTATGAGTTCTAGTCTTTGTTACTGTCCCTGTTATCTGCTGTTTGTTAGGGTTTGTGTATTTGCGTGTTTAATTTATTACCTTTCCTGTTCCTTGCCTTGTCTTTCATGTTGAGTAGCTGTTAGGCAGATATACTTGCAGTTCCTTGCCTCGTTTGAGCATCGGTTTGCGAGAGGTGCTGGCTTGCACCTGTTGGTGCAGAAGCCCGTCACAGCCAAGGCTGTGTTTCTGCAAGTCTTGGATGGCCTCATTTATGGCTGGAAGAGACTGTCAGGGCCATATGAAGTTTCTGCTATTGCTCTGACTTCTGGGACAGTTGTCTGTAACTATTTTTCAGCATAGTAATCTCAATTCTCTGTTACAACAATTGTGGCTCACAATTTTTTTATCCTTGCTTGGTGGTTGAACGATTGGGTGTTGTCATCACAAATTAAGTCTGTTATAACATACTGCTCATGATGTGAATGCCTAAACATAAACTGTAAGTTTTAGAGTGAATACAGAATTTGTGCTGTATCACAGTATTCTCACCTCTTGCAAGAGTTTGGATAGATTAGATATAACACAAAGGTTGTTCAACCATCTGGAAAGTGAAGTAGTTGGTGCAAGCGCTTCTTCATTTCTTCCTGTGTCACCCCAAGCCAACAGGCAAGGAGCAGGTAGCATTGGAAAGTTGTGAGCAAGAGTTCTTAGTGTCTCTCATGTTGCCTTTTGGCTATTGATAGCATTTCTGACTTTCTTTTATCCTTAGAAAAGCCCATATTAGAAACATGGGGAAAAAACAAGTTGCTTTTTTTTATTGTAAATGTCTTATCGTGTCTTCCCTAATTGAGTTTTTTTGGGGGTACAACATTCAGATCAGTCATTTGTTTCAGTTCTTACCTATGTTACCATAGGAACATATACCAGCTCACAGAAAAATGAGGTAAGGCTTTTTATTTACCTTAGTCTATAGCAAGGCTTAAATTGTTATTTTTGTAGAACTCTGAGCTCATAGTACTTGCTTTTTATAAGATGCATATCTGTAGGTTTGAGTATGAATAACCCAAAGGAAATCAAAAAGGTAGAATCAAAGCAGTTGTGCTTTGATTACTTAGTACCTCTCTCTCTATAGAAAAAATACCTTTCTTTTTCTCCATTGAGGTGAGTCAAGTCCAACTCGTCGAGAAGCAGTGAAAAGGAAGACTGCAGAATACCTTATGCGTGCAGAAAAAATTTCCAGTCTCTACCATAAATCCTCTGAAGATGCATCTGTTTCTATGGTAAGCTTTAATTTATTTTTTTCTGAACCAGAATTTAGTATAATTAAATTGTTCTGTCTTTTAGCAAAGCATATTCAAGCTTGAGGTTCAAAAACTGCCTAGACTTCTCTCTTTCAGGAGGCCTGAGGAGTATTTTGATGTTACATTTCTGTTAAGTTGCTGTTCTTTTCTGATTCTTGTTGGTTGCATTTCATAGCATTACAAGGGGTGCTTGATTTAATCCAGGCCTGTTTGTTCGCATGCTTTCCTTCTACTCTGCAGTTAATGATGTAAACATTATTAATCATGCTAAAGAATTTAAAGGTAAGGCAAAAAAACCCACCAGAACGTAACATTTCTTTTGACTTTCCCATGAGAATATTGCTTGGTCCTGTAGGGAGCAGAAAGGCTGTTGGTTTCTTTAGCCTAGCGTGTAATGGTGTATCAGAAGTGAGTCAAGCACATGGTGGGGGGATGGGAGATGAATTTCCCACAAAGTACTTAATTGAGCAAATGTTCTTCCCGATCCCTTCAGATGTCTCTCTTGGATGTGCTTCAGTGATCAGTTGCTGCTTGATTTTTGAGGAGTTTCTGTAGTAATTCCCACCTTCTTAAGCAGCAACACCCTTATCTGTACTTGTACAAAAGACAAACAAAGCTTATTCCAAGGCACCCTCAATAAATCTCTACTTTGCCCTTCCCCAACTAATTCCTTTGGGACTTACCTGTTCTTACTTCAGACTTTTACTGTGGTCATGCTAAACTGTGTGTGATTGTCAATGACCGCCCTATTGCAGTAAATATAAAAGTTACCAACTTCCTATCTCTCTACATTTATATCAAGTGGGGACAAAAGGGGCAGAAGATTATTGCTGCTTATTTTGCACAGATCTAAAAATGCTTTAAGGAGACCACTGCTGCAAAAATAGGAAGCCTTATAAAATCCGACTGCCTAATAACTAAGTGAAAAAAGCAAAACCACTGATTTTGAAGGGTAGCTTTTTTTATGTTGAGAGCCCACAAGTACAATTTTGAGGATGTTCCAAATGGGATATATTTTGTGAGGTTTGGAGTCTTGCTGCTCCTATGAATTGTACTTTGAACAATTTAGTATTTTGGACTGATAGGAACTCCTACTAGGTAGTCTTTCTTTGGGTCAAACACCCCTGAAAATGGGGAAGAATCTGTGTTGAATGAAAACCTCAGTGTGTTTGGAAACCGCAGAACAAGAAAAAAACCATTAACAACCTATTTTTGCCTTTTTATAAGTTTAAAAACTAATTGTGGTTGGGAAGGAGGAAGAAATAGGTTGCATTTTTGTATGTGAACTTGAGAGGTAAAGTATTTCCTCTTTTATGCTGTACTGAATAAGGTACATGCCTTCTTTGCAGATCCAAAGGAAAGCAGGATTAATCGGGTAAGACAAGAAAAAAAAAAGTAGTGAGAATAGAATACCATTATTCTTCTGTGTTGAAACTCAAAATTGACAGGTTACGGCAAATCTGACTTTGCACAAGGAAAATGTTGCACCTGGCTCATTCTCCTTTTTACAAAAAAAGCCCTGTTTCCATGATTTGGCTTTGTTTTACCTAACTCTGTATGTGTATTTTAATATCTTTTATTTGCTGCTCTTCGTAATGCATAAACTTGACTTTTATCTTGAGAGTTTTGGAATTTGCTGGCATCAAGGGCAGATGGTGCTGATGGGTCATGATGGTTGTCGTGAGGATCAGCTTGTCTCCAAGTTGATAGCTGAAAGTTCATCGGGAGGAGGACTTATCTCCCAAAGTTATTGTAAGGGTGGTGGTAGGAACCACTAAGAATTGGCATGCTCTGTGCTCTGGCTTAGTGTCTTAAGGAAAGTGGGGAATGTGACTCTTCCTGCACGTTGGTTGCTGAGCAGACTTGAATTCTTGCACCTTAGTTACTGCTTATCCTTTTTACTGCCCAAGATAGTTTACATTGGCGTTTGCGTGAATTATTCCACCCCATGCAGACAGTGGGGTGGAATGACCTGCATCTATAAACGGTGTGATTCTTGGGAGCTACTAGTAGAAACATGCAGATACTTTGTGTCCTTCTCCTAAAGAAATTAAGTCTACAGTGCACAAGGTTAGTGTGTATGCCTCCTTGCACCATCACTTCACACCAACTTGATGTTTCTTTAACTGCTGTTTACATGCCTTTGGTCATGCTGGGGCAAGCCTGGTCTGTAACCACTAGCATCTCCTACTGCTGTAGGTCCTGCTGACTGATACCATCCCTTGTTCAAATGCGAATGTTTAAGTAACACTGCACAATGCCTTCTTTGCTTACATGAATCCGTAAAGAGGTCTCTCATCACTTCTGTGCAGGAGGGACACTGAAATCTTTGAGAGGAATCACTGCGTTAGTATACTTAGGAAGCCTTTCCTAGAAGCATGACCAAGTGCTGTTACACTTGTTAGCCCAGCACAGCTTGAACCGTTTAACTGAAATTGGTTTGCAAGAAAATGGTGGACAAATACTGTACCCTAGCATTACCTGTGCCTATATTACAATGGGCAGAGTGCAGTTTGGTTATGGGAAGCATAGTTCAGTGCAGGGAACTTCATGGGCAGTGGGGGTGCTGAGATCGTTTGCACTTTGGAGGAAGAGGTCTGACTAGTAGTAAGCAAGCATCGGCATTTGAGGCAAAGTGTTCTTGTTTGTGACCTGATGTTACAAGGCAGAACTGCTTTGTCACCCATGTCTGGTGTAGATAGCTTTGTGTTTCCTATTGTGCCCTTACAAGGAGCAACCACAGTGATCAGCATCAAAACTAGGCTCACCTGGCCTTCTTAGACATGAAATTTTACTTCTTTCTCATCCACCAGGCCAGAGAAATGTCCAGCAAGGGAAGAGGTAAGCTCAGAAGTGCATGTTCAATTATTGTCCTGCACCCCTCAGCCTCTCACATCTCCAAAAAGCTCAGGCTGCCAGCTGTGTGCTGAACCATGTGCAGCAGTCTCAAAAGACTATGCCTGCTAAATGCACCCCAAGCCATCCATTTGCCATATGAACACCATGTGACGGTAAAGCATGGCGGCTTTTCTCTGGTGACCTGGGACAGAGGGAAGCGAGCTATTCTTCTGCGGCCCAAAATGCCAGGCTCTTGCCTCTTCGAAGACTAGATTTCACTAGAGGTGAAGGCCTGGCATTTCAGAGCTGAGAAGCAAAAATTATCTTTGATGCCATGGAAACCAAACAAAGAACAATAGTAGTTTGTTACTTTACTTGCCTCAACAAAGAGCCAAGAGTGTAGCCCTCAAGGATAGCATCCTTAGCAACCACCCTGCTGCTGGCAAGTCTGAGTGGTGAAGAGAGGAGCACAAGAGGAGGTATTTGGAGAACCCTTGGCACTGTTAAAAAAAGGTTGTTGGTATAGGGCTTAAGGATGGATAGAAGATTTCTTAAGGCTGAAAAGAAGCACAGGGAACTGACGCAACTGTGACTGACTGTGAACTGTGGGGAGCTCACTTGACAGGGTCTTGTAAACATTGAGAAAAGCCTTACTATGACCTGTAGGAGCGGGAAATGTGGAGACAGCCTCTGGAGGTTGTAAACAGGCATGCAGACCTTCTGGAAAAACAAGCTGCAGCAAACGCTGTCCTTCTCTTCCTCCGCTGGCACAGCACAGCAGCCTCAAGGGCCTTCTCGACAACAAATGCTCAAGAATGCTGTGTGACGGCAGCAGCAGGCCATTTTGCAGAGTCTCAAGCTGTATTTTCTCCTCTGCCCCTTTGTAAGTAGCAGCTCTGGTGAGCCACCTCCAAGCCTGAGTGGGAGCTGCAGCAACAGCCTTTGAATCACACTGGATTGACTGTCAGAAAGCTGCAGTCTTACATAGCTGTCAGCTGTGAGGCCCAGCACAGCTACATGTACAGGCTGTGTGTCCGTTTTAACTTTGTTGGTATTTTTATAATGTGTATTTTTTTCACTCGTTGAAATTATTTCTGGTTCTACTTATGCCCAATTTTTGATATTTAGAATTGTCTCTTTTTTGCACTGTTATAAAAGTTGTTGCCTTTTAAAATGTCAATTATTTTTTATTTTCAAAGCAATTTAGTAACAAGAGTTACATGCAAGTCTGATGCCCAAACAGGAAAAGCAGTCTTCAGTCTTTGCAGTTTTCATAGGGTATCTTACTTCTAAAATTCTCATTAAATGTGCATGAAAATTACACGAAGTGTAAAGAAAATACACTGCTGTAGTTCTGTGAGATGTAAATTTAACATAAAATAAGAAATTTGGTCTCAAGGCTTCCACGACCACATTCAGTATTCCTGTCTGCTGCTGGTTCCAGATGTGCATGACCCCAGATGTGTCCCAGCTTCAGGGAAGATGCAATCCCAAATTGGTGATCACTGGGGACCTTCTGAAGCCCACCATAGCTCTGTCCATGTTCAGATGCGTGCAGAGATGCAACCTTGTTTTCCCATGGTGCGAGGTGAGGAAGGGGCCAGGATGTTCTGCCAGGCCAGGAGAGCTGGAAGCTCTTTGACACCCATGGTGTGGAGTCTCACACCTCAGGCCAGCAGTATCTGCTTCAAAACAAGGCATCTCCTTGCTGCAGTCGAGGGTCTGGCCATGCTACAGGGGGATGGTTACTGAAGTCATCAGACACAGACCTCTGAATGGTGAGGGGTGATCACGTTTTGATGTGTAGCTCTGCACTGGTGTTGGTGAAAATGCTCTTTTTTATCCTGAGGTTCTGTGGTGACTACTGTCAAAGGTGGCAGCATGAGCAGTAGAATCATTTCCTATCAAATGGTGTTTGTGTCAGCAGGCTAGGGATAGTGCTCTTGCCTTAAATGAGGTTAACATGAGAGGCTCTTCCTCTTGCTTGGCTGGTGGTGTACTTCTCTTTCTCCCCGTGCTCTTAAAACTGCTGGCAGTGATGCCAAAGCTGAGGCAATTGCTATTGCCATATTTTGTTGTGTAGCTTGCAAAACTAGAGCCTTCTGAAGGCAAGTGGTGGCCGCAAGCTGCTGGGTCTTTGCAGAGGCCAGCATCACAATCAGCATCATCCTTTTCCACTTGAAATTAGCATATGCTAGCCAAAAGGTGATGGTGGGAAAGGAACTGGTGACACTGATCCCAAGTCAGATAACTCCAGCTGTGCAGCTCAGTGTAGTCTGGAAATAGTTTCAAAACACACAGGGCCTAGCCACAGGAGAGAAGGTACTGGGTTACCTGAGCAACATGCTGAGCATTTGGAGAGGCTGCTGAAGGCCTTCTGCAGGCAGAGGTAGCCTGCCACTTTCTTTAGTATATAAATGCCTTATTTCTAAAGGCAAATGAAGCCTTTGAGTTTTTGTTACTCTCCTTCCTGGTTTGTTTTTTTTTTTTGTTCCTCTATTTTTGATGAGAGCTCTGTTTTTTATTTTTCTTATCGCTGGCTAGATGCTGAGCTTGGACTTTTACTCTATTCAGAGGAGCAGGCGGCTTCATAGAACGCTTAATTGCTGTAGTTCTGGGAATTGGGTATTTAGAGTTTGCTTCCGGCTTGCTTCACAACAGAATGTGATGCCTCCTCATCACTGGGCTCCACTATTAGACTTTGCAACAGTGAAACCAAAGTACTGTAAAGAGCAAAAAATAACCTGAAACTGATAAAAACGGAGAAGCTACTGGGAGCTGTGGAGATGTGGATGTGATTATTAATCATTTTAAGGTAAGAAATGACTGTAGAATGCGTATATGGAAAACGATGCGTGTACACAGTATTACTGACTGTGCCACCATTGGTGATATTTTATAGAAGGACCCAAAAATATGTACTGGTTTTTTTTGGCTCTTCAGACATGATGGGTGCAGAAGTCTGATTCTATAGCATTATTAGACAACTATTAACTTCTGTAGAGATGTATGAATGTAATTCATGGTTGAAATGTTATGCATAAGAGAAAATTTTAAAAGCTTGGTTATGGAGGAATGGTTATAAAATGTAATAGCATGCAGATAGAAGTGGAAATCTTTTATAGTAGTCTAGAGGATTTGGAAATATTTTCTTTCATTGAATGTATTCCTTAGAATGCTTTTGAAGTCTTGTCATGAGTAAACTCTGTGTTAGCACAACTCTCTGTTTCAAAGCAAATATTTCATTATTGCAGAAAAATTGCGCACTCTTAAAATACCACCCAACAAAAGAACTCCCTTGACCTTCCAACAGCTTGCTAGAATATGGAACCTAAATTAGGTGTGGAGAAAGAACTTCATGTAGAGTTTTTTTTTCTTCATACTAAAACCTTTAGTGATTTGTAGAATCTGGGCTGTTTTCTCTTAACTGCTGTTGGCACTCTTGCTCAGCAGTGTTTACATGACAAAATAATTATAAGACCCAGATAGATAAATAAAGATAAATAAGAAACTCTTTTTAACATAGAGCCCAGTAGGTGACCATAAAAGAAAAGCACACTTTTCTCCATGCTTTTTGACTGTGTGTTTTTGAACCTTTCTGTTTAATTTTGCAGGCAATGCTAAAACAAAAGTTGATTTTTTGGGAAAGAATTTGGAAGGAGAGAAGGTGGTTGACTGGCAACATGAAGGGAAACCAGTTTTGGGGAGGGCTTTGGGGAGGTGCTCTGCACTTGGATAGCACAGTAAAGATGTTGGAGGGCAAACACTAGGGAGGAAGCAAATGGAATTACCTAGTTCAGGATCTTCAGTTTTTCTGAGGGCTTCTGATCGTAAAGGAAAATTTCTTGATTTTTCCTGATACGTAAACATTTCATCCACAGCATAATTGCTTACCAGCAGTTTTCCTTTGTGACATATTTGTTAAATATTGCCTGAGGATGCTGACAAATTAGATAAACAGCTTTTGCTTCTTAGAAGCCTAAAAATCAAGGAGTTTCACCTTCCTCTTCCTTTACCTTTATGCAGTAGAAATGTACTTGGGGAGGCCAGGCTATGCTTAAGAAGAGTTTGGCATTCAACAGCTCTGCAAATGAAGTTACCTTATTTGCGAGGAAGAGATCCGGGTCTGTGGTTCTACTAGAAGCTGCATGTTGAATTTTTGGAGGAGGATCTAATAAATTCTCTCAGTTGGGAACTAGAAACTTCTGAAAATGTTTGTTAATGTGCCAGAGGTGTATGTGATGCTTAAGAGGTTGATCTTTGTCCCAGAAGACTTCCAGTTGAAATGTTGTTCCCTCCTTTGACATGCAAGCTTTGGTTTGCCCTAAGAAACTACAAAACGTAGCATGGACAAAAATCTATGTGTATTAACTACTTGAATAGTTAGCACCTGCCAATGCTTTTGCTATGGTGTTAATCTCTAGATTAATGATACGTGGCTAGCTACCTTTTTCTAAGGGAGTTTTAGGAATCATTGCTGTTGTGCACTTTGTTATTAAAATGATTTCATAAAGCTCACCAGAGAACCCTGTTTATAATTCTGTATTTTATGTTCTTCAGACTTAAAAAGCCTCTAATTTGCTTTCTCCTCCTCAGTGATCTCTGAATTATTTTGTATCCAGAATACCTGTAAGGCTTTGATTATTGTGATGGGGTAAGAATTGAGTAATCAATTCCCAGGTTCCATTAAGCATAGAAAGTATAAAAATGCATTATTTTTTCTTTCTAAAATTTTTGTCCTCAATGTTATCTTGATTTTTACTTACTTGCAAGTTGTTGTTGTTGCACCCCCCCGCCCCAACTAAGGACAAACAGAAAACTTCTCCTTTCATCTTCACTCTCTCTGATTTATGATAAATTTAGTTTCCTTTGGCCTGGCATTTGCTGCAGCAGGCAGTCTTCCTTCAAGTACCACCCTGATTGATGTATAATCTTTGATATCTTCCATTAGCCTCCCGGATCACTAAGTTCAAGGCCCTCTTGGAACCTAAGGAGCCCTGCCGAGGAACTGAAGGCCTTCAGAGTCCTTGGGGTGATTGACAAGGTAATTCTTCAGTGTCTCTTCAAGAATTCAGTCATAAATCGACTGCATGCTGACATTTTGTCTTTGAAGCTGTGGATCTTAAGGATATGAAACAAAAGGGGAAAATGACTCAAATGCATCTGCACTTTAAAATAACAAAAGTAGAAGAAAAAAGGCTTTTATCTAAGCAATTCATGTAAGGTCATGCAAAATACATTTGAGCTAAAGGATAAGGTACATGTTTGGTGGCATTCAATAGGATGAGGCCTGTTTTTCAAAAATGAAGTCATGGTTACAATACCGGGGTAACAATGAGTTGATGTGTTTTCAGTTGAATAATCTGGTGGATACTTGAAATATAGAAGGGTAGAAATTCCTGCTTTTGAACTGTCACTTGAAATAGGGGCTGGGGACACACACGACTGTTCTCCTTCCCTGAGAATTTGTAATTGAAATCCCCCTCCAAGACAGAGATTCAGCCATGAAGCCAAGCTTATTTTTGACTCATGCAAATAATGTCTTCCAAAATCCCTGGGTAATACCCCTCTGTAAACAGTAAAGGACCATACAGATTTTTTGCAAGCCTAATTAAGAGACCAGAAGAATTGCTGCATTGTTTTGATAATGCCGATTAGTTATCACCTTACCAAATACTTTTATGATGATGTATTATTCAGCAATGTGGCAGTGGCTAATGCAGACTGTAAAGGCTCATTTCCTTTTTGCTGCGCCAGTTCCCTTGTGGCTTTTGATAGTTCCTTACGTAGTCCCTGGTCTGTGCATGATGTACTGATGCATGGACAATTTACGCATTTGTAACGTGCATCAGAAAGCCTGTAGCTGGTCTCTTAAGGTCTGTATTTTTTGGTTTCTTTTTCTTGTTGGATTGAACCTAGCTATGGGGACTGATTTTTGTTTTTCTTTGCCTGTTTTGTTGTAATTATGTGCATAAGTTGATAACTTCTCCTCAGAGGGCTATATACATTAGGTATTATGGTTGTTTTTATAGCACACAAAGTTTTCTCAGCTCTGACTTCATATTCATTGTATCTTCTTTCCTCAGTTGTAAGTACAGAATTTAGCCTGTGTTCCACTCTGTATACGTATCAGAGAGACAGGTTGGAAAGAGCACCTATCTGTTGGATTAGTAGTCACTAACTAAATTAGTAGCCACTAAATGGATGCAGTAGGCATGGATTTCGTGAATTAGTCTGACAATGTGAGACTGCAGAAGTGTTGGAAATGAACCAAGAAAGACCTTTTTGATATCTTCGTTCTTGTATAAGAGTAATGAACAGCGACTGGAGAAGATGCTTGATCAGAATGAAGCTTTTGGAGTCCTTGGTGTTATCAGATCTCCTAGATCTCTCTGAGCCCAGCTCTAGTAAGTGTCCCAGGTGCGAGCTGAACGTGTCCAGATCTTTGAGGCAGAGCTGGGAAGAATCAGGGTTCTGGTGATGACAAAAATACAAGATCTTAGTGTTGGAGATGTGCGTGAGGAGTAACAGGCTCGTGTATACAGCTGGTATGCTCATGTGTAAACAATATTATAGGGGTCAGAGTTAATGTTTAATTATTATATGAAAAAGGGAGCAATGTTCTTTCAGGTGTCTCTGTACGCTGTGTACCTGCTTCCAGTTTCTCCTTATTTTAACTTAATCTTAGTCTGAGTATGCTGTCTTTTTTTATATATTTTTTAAGTGTTCATAAAGTTGTGAGGTAAATGAAAAGCTGCTCTAAGCCCAAATGTTCAGAGCATGTTTTATTTGGTTTTACAATGCATACACACAACGCATGTGGATATGAAGCAAAAGTGTGCACATGTATCTATTTGTTGGAGACGATGCCCCTGCCCGTGGTTTAAAGCACCATCTCATTTCCTTCCTCACCATCACTGTTCTTTGCCTCCTTCTCTGCTTGCATATGCCCTAAAGCTCACATCATGGAGAAATCCAAATAGATGTGTAAGTATCCTCGCTGGAGCCAAGCAGATGACATAGTGTGTTTGTTCGTGAAAATGGATTCTGATTTTCAGGGCCAGCGTTGAAAATGCCATGCTTTTGGGCACAAGTCTGTAACTGATTCAGCATCACGCAGAGTTTTGCCTGAAAATACTCTTATCCCATTCTAACCCTGAGGTAGCTGCTTCGGTTTCAGCAGAAAAAGGGTGTATGGATAGTAATGAGCCACTGGCATTTTTACTGCTGTCTTGCCTAATCCTGTGCAAGACTGGCTTAAACACACTGACTTAAAAATGGTGGTGGTTGGTTTGCAGACTTCTCCCACTGCTGCTTGAAGCCCAGAGTGGTGTCTGTCTGCTACAGTGCTGCCTCAAGAAAACCAGCTGTTAACCTGTACTCCATCAAATGCTGACAGGTTCAGTGCCTTCCCTTAGAGTAATGTCAGTCTTTGTTCTTTTGAAGCCTCTTGAAGTGTTTTGAATTGGCTTCATTTTCACAGACAAAATGCTTGTTGCTACCTGAAACTCTGGGTTTTTCAAACTATTTTAGGCTAGGCAGAATGATTAAACATTTAATTTTAGCCTCGTTTATTCCCAATGTGCCATCTTTCCCTCTCTGTCTGCCTTTCCACCTTCCTTGTCGCCTGAATAATTTTTGCTGCGTTGACCTTTTCTGCTGAATCTGAGAGAGTTAGAGATCTTAGTGTTATTAAACTCCTTACAATATTGTGAACATTCACAGAAGAATGACCGTATCTGTGCCTTGCCTCCCATTCTTCTCCTCTCATGCAAAAGCTGTGGTATAAATCCAACTATTCTAACAGACCCAAGAGGACCTACACTTTGCTTGAGGAAACCAGGTTTCTTGAATTCTGCTGCTATTGTGTTTGCTTACTTCATGGTGTCAAAGGTAGTTAACCTTTTGCAGGTATTTTATGTGTTTTTATGGGAAGAGTCTACCTGTGAGTAGGCTTCTGAAAATAGAGGTTTAATCTAATTATAAAGGTGGCTTTTGTCCTGCAAATGTTGTGGACTCTGAGGTGCTGCTGATGGGCAGCAAAGCTCTTGTTATTGTTACCAGAGGTACCACATTGAAAACAGGCTAATATCTAAATATTTTAGCTACTGTTATCACCAACCAAGAATGATCAATTATTTTATCAGTTCATGTACCTTAAAGTAGAAAACTTCTTTTTGGAATAGCAAAGATTTTTGCTTTCAAAATTTGCCTAATTAAAAAATCAAGGTTGCAGATTCTGTGCTGAGTTTCTGCCCTAGGCAAATCTTTCCTTTGAAGCTACAACTGGCCCCTAAAGAAACGACTTTGTTATGGTGCTGCTGGATACCTTCACAATGCTGTTTCAAACCCAATTTCTTATTCTTTAGAACCCTCTGTTATTTAGATTAATTCAATTTAAAGATTCATCTGGAAAGCAGAGTGCATTAAGTAATAACTATGCCTCTGTAACCAATGACTGTCTTTTATGTCTTTTCTATCCCCTCCCCTGGTCCCCCATCAAGCCACATTGTCTGTATTGGCACTGGTGTGACTGTGACCAGTTCTTCCGCAGATGTCTGTACATTGGAGCTTCTTGTTGTTCAATATGCTGTTTGTTAAGCTTCATTATACAATCTGAAACCTTATAAAATAAAATACTCTCATCAGGGCCTTGCTAAAATTATTTTGGGAGTTTCTGAAGAGGATTCTAGAAGTACGTAACTTCTTTCTGAAGAACTGGAAGCAATTCTGTTAATCTTGAGAATAGGTTATTTTTTGTGGCTGTCGTGCTATCGTGAAAAATCATAGCTCTGATGGTAGTACATTTTGATGAATTGACCTTAGAAATATGCAGAAGAACCATATCAGTATTATTAATTATTTAGAAAGTGTGATTCCTACTTGTCTACTTGATGAGTGTAAGTGCCAAAAAGCAGGAGTATATAGAATATATGTAGAGTTTGCATGCATAATCTGCAGACCCATAGTTGACTTTAAACAGGTTATGGTTAGTTTTAATGGAATTTAATCAGAGGATAGGAGAAATGGGCTCTTTTTATGGCAGTGTGTGTGCTGTGCATGAATAACAAGACATAGGTAACTGTGTCCTGTAAGTGTTTGTTGGAAATTTAAATATTCGACATTTGATTTTGAGGTGAGGTTAAAGACTGTTGCAGTTGTGAAATTGAGTTGACCATAGCAGATGTTTTCTCCCACCTGGCTCTCAGGTGCGCACTGCCAAGCATCTTTAGATCATCTTATGGATTTGAACGAGTGGCTGTGTGTACGTAAGAGGTGTGGGGAAAAGGGAGCTGTAATAAACATCACAATCAAGTACAGACATTCATTCTTGTTTCATTATGATGCTTAGAAAGAAAATCTGGCTGAAAACATGTTATAATGAATTCAACCGACTAGCAAGTTTTCCTCATCCAAACATGGCATAATGGAAAATAGCAGGGGCAATAATGGTTAAAAATCTGAAACTGAGTAATAATAGTAACTATTAATACAAATAAAGAAACTTTTAAGAGCTTGTTTTATGTTTTGATAACCCTCTAGTTTCTTAAGCGACTTGCCAAGTCCTACAAAATCAAATCAACTACAGAGTCGTCGTCAAAACTGATTTCTTGGCT